TTGGTTGCAGCCGTCATTGTTGTTTGGTGGCCTGGGCTAGATTCGAACCCACCACCTTAGGTGTATGTGGCTGGCGTCTTAGCCACTTGAGCCACAGGTGCCAAGCCAAAAAACTAAAATCTTTATAGATAAATATGGCAACTATAATTATTGAAACTACTGGAGGGTAAATAAGGGTGTATTTGATATATTCTTTTAATTGTTCTGCATGTTTAAAATGCTCTTGATCTAAAGTTGTAAAAAACCAACAACCTCTAATTCATTACACTCTTTCTACTCATCTCATTGTGGATCCTTCTGTTCACAAGCTGACAAGCTATCTCTCTCTGGGACATGATTCCCTCCTCCTGGCTGAATGGAGCTCGTGGTGGGTAAGGTGTGGGTCATTCAATGGGAGAAAATGGACATGAAGCTGCTCTGCCTGAAAGGACAGGTCCCAGGAAATGCAGAGCAGAGACGTGTGCGAGGCAGGGAGAGGCGGGGTTGAGAAAAGCTTCTGAAGGGAAATGACAGGAAACCAGACCTGAAGCAGGAAAGAGAGGCAGAGCCTGCCAGTCAGGAGCAGGTGCAAGTGTGAGGACCTGAAGGCAAGCAAGAATGGTGACTTCAGGGAACAAGTGTTTCACAGGGCTGGAGCTGAAGGGGCAGGAGCAGGGAATAGGCTGTATGGAAGGGCCCACACCCCGAGGGCCTCGTAAAGCAGTGCAGGCCACCCAGAGGGAACTCTTGATAATCAGTCCCACACCCAGATAAGTGCTGGGAAGATCTAGCTACTGCTGAAGACACCATCCTACCTACAGCGGTCAGGCCTGGAGGCAGGTAGCAGGTGTGAAGTGGTACAGCAGAGACGTAGATTACAGCAGTGGAAATGCAACCCACACGTGGGAGGCAGAGTGGCGGGGCCTTCAGCTAGCTGGATGTGTGATGGGGTCAAGCAGAAAGAAGCAAGAGACGGCCCCCACGGGGTGCCATCCAGTGAGATGGGATTGCAGGAGTGGGTATGGCAGCATGAGTTCAGGGGTAGGAACATGTTGAGAGATGCCTGAAGAACTCCCCCGAGATCTCTCCATGTGCAGAAGCCCAGGGGGCTGTTACAGAGGTGGGCACAGAGCATAGGATGGAAATGTGGCTTTGGGAGTCACCAGCACACAAACAGCTAAAGAGGCTGAAGGTGAAGGAGATGGCCCAGAGGAGAGTCCTGGGGAGAGAGAAGACCCTGAAGAGCACCATATACTGGGCACACCTGGGGGACCCTCTGAAGGAGCCTCTCTTCCCTTCCCACAGCCCAGCACATAGCAGGCCCTCAGGAGGTGCTTACTGACCGACCGGGCGCCAACACCACAGAAGTTATCAGCACGGTAATAACTCTGTAGGCATAAGAATTTTCTATCTCAAACGTAAAATTAAAAAAAGACAATTTGCTAACATTATCTAAAAGGCAATTTACTAACATTATCTATAATCATTCAGTTCCATCTCCACTTTAGAGATGGTAAAACTGACAATTAGATAGTAAATTCTTTTCAAAGTCAGGCGGCACCTGTGGCTCAGTGGGTAGGGCGCTGACTCCATATACCAAGGGTGGTGGGTTTGAACCCAACCCAGCCAGCTAAAACAGCAATAGCAACTGCAACAAAAAATAGCTGGGTGTTGTGGCGGGTGCCTGTAGTCCCAGCTACTCGGGAGGCTGAGGCAAGAGAATTGCTTAAGCACAAGAGTGACACAGTGACAGTCTGTCACCAAAAAAAAAAAAAATTAAATTCTTTTCAAAGTCATTACAGTACTGTGATTAAAACTTTACATAGATATGATTAGAGATCAATTTCTGAATCTTCAGCATGGATACTGGACAAATTCAGAACACCTAAAAACAAATATGCATTTTTACCTACTCTAAAAAGCCCATTTTAAAGTCAATATAAATGTTTCTAGAAACCCAAATGCCAAACATTGAAAGTCTTAATATCAACTCTATCCAACAGACAATGATTCTACATGGTGAAGCAGACACTGGCCCATAAGGGTTATGAGAAGAAAATTCTTTTTTCTCTTGTGCTACACACTATATGACGTATAAAATGCTTACTAATTAAAGCGATTACTGGGGGTATAAATTCCAGCAAGTCAGTCAATAATTTTCTAATCATTTATTGATTTTTAGGAATTGGTAGTATGTTTTTGTATTTGACACAGCTTCAAAAGTTAAATAATCTTGTCAGAGCCTTCATGTGACCCAGGGAGCAATGTTAAGCCCTTACCAATAGGGTAACCCTCTTTTACCCTATTGATAAGGGTTAAGTGACCTGCAATCTCTATCAACAGATTTTTCTTGCTATTGCTGTTACAGAGAATCAAGAATCCTTTCTCAGCTTCTGATAAATTAACACAAAAACTTTTCCAGCCTTTTTGAAGCTTCTGAGATTTGTATGCATCTGACATTTCTATTATCAGATTTACCAGAACTTAATATTTAGTTAGGCCAAACCTGACATTTTAGGCCAGGCATGAGAAGGTACAGCATGATAGTCAATGATAAGGCTCTCTGCCAAGCTGCCTGGCTTCAAATTTAAACTAAGTTAAAATGAAATGGCTTTCATGTGCCTCAGTCTCCTCATCTAGAAAACGATGATGATGGTTCTTGAAAAGAGTCAATACCCTAGAACAGTGTCTGTCACAGAGAAGCCCCATGTCAGCATTCATGCTCATTTTCATTAACAAATAACATGGTTATTATTATTATTATTATTATTTTTTTTTTTTTGAGACAGAGCCTCAAGCTGTCCCCCTGGGCAGAGTGCCGTGGCATTACAGCTCACAGCAACCTCCAACTCCAGGGCTCAAGCGAGTCTCCTGCCTTCGCCTCCCAAGTAGCTGGGACCACAGGCGCCCGCCACAACGCCTGGCTATTTTTTGGTTGCAGCTGTCATTGTTGTTTGGCGGGTCCGGGCTGGGGATTCGAACCCGCCACCTTAGGTGTACGCGGCTGGCGCCTTATCCGGTTGAGCTATAGGCGCCGAGCCTAACATGGTTATTATTAATTAATGTACATGAGGCAATGAATTCATCTTACTAAATAAATGGAGGTGAAATTCAGCAGGGACAAAGAAATAGGGAGTCTCACACTGAAGAGAGGAGCATACTTTCTTGGGTCCTGTGGGGAAGAGCTCATGGATGGCGCTGGAGAAGGCATTGTAGTCTCTACCCTGCCTCCACAGGCTCTGTCAGTCCCCATCTCAGATTTGCCCTAGGCTAGAAGCTGTCAGGGCTCACAGCAGCGCCCTAGACACCTCTCAAACCCGACCCAACACCTGTTAGGTCTCTAAGGTGAGCTCACAGTCTTAGTAGGACTGCAGTTCCCACAAGTGGACACATGAGGGCATCTCTGGGGAAGCAAGGTTAGCAGCCACTGCCTTAAAAACCCAGAGAGTGATAGGGCAGCTCCCCAGTCCCCCAATCCAGGCACACAGTACAATTAGGCCAGGATGGCCCTCCTTTTCTGGGAGGAGCCAATGGCAGGGTCTGGGAGACAGGACTTTTAGGAATTCGACTGGCACAGGCACTGGCCAATCAGATTAGAGAGCAGCAATGGCACTTGCACAGGCTCCTGGCTGTGGGAGAGGCAGACCAGGGGTGAGAGTGTGTGGGACTATTTAAGTCTGGATGTGGCTGCACAGGGCACTCCACCCTTGTTTAGCTGAGTATCAGTCCCAATGAGGTTAGCTGTGGGAAACTGCCATCATTGAATATTTTAACAACCCCTGTCCACAGCATCTAAGTCCTCACACAGGTGCTTGAATTAAGCCTGGGTGCCATTAAAGGTAGAAAAAAGAACAAGCTACTTACCTTGGGCTGCGTATCTACAAGAACCATCCTCCACCAGAACGTTATAGAAAGGCTGATGGTGGCCGTGAGGCAGGCTGTGGACGTTCATGTTCCGGATCCACTCATGTCCCATCATGCAGGTGGGGTCCCAGCCATAGATCACACAGTTGTAGCCATACCTAATCAACACAAGAGCACAACAGATCAGGTGCCTGGGACCTGGTACATGTAAATGGTTTGGCTCCTCAGAAGCTCTCGTTCTTACCAATGTATCTGCTTTCGCTCCAGGCTGGGTCATTTTTCAGGATGCCCTGCCCCTTTTTATGAATATCTCTACTTATCAACACAGGACTTCATTTGGAAAGGAGAATAAACTTTTCAACAGAGTGATGGTTATCCAAATGGAATAAGGTATCAGGACCCTGGTCTGACAACAATACACCAGAAATGGTTCTGGTAAAACAAAGACCTGGATGTACTATGCAGGACTTTTTTTTTGAGACATAGTCTCACTTTGCCCCTGGTAGAGTGCCATGGTGTCATAGCTCACAGCAGCCTCAAACTCTCAGGCTCAAGCAATTCTCCTGCCTCAGCCTCCTAAGTAGGCTGGGACTACAGGAGCCTGCCACTACGCCTGGCTATTTTTTCTTTTTTTTGAGAGTTTCACTCTTGCTCAGGCTGGTCTCAAACTCATAAGCTCAAGCCCTGCCTCAGCTTCCCAGAGTGCTGGGGTTACAGGCATGAGCCACTGCATCCGGCCTTATGCAGGAATTTTAAAATATATTACTTCTTTTAAAAAATTAATTAATTAAATTTTTTTTAATGCAGTTTTTGGCGGGGGCTAGGTTTGAACCCGCCACCTCTGGCATATGGGGCCAGTGCCCTACCCCCTTTGAGAGCCACAGGTGCTGCCCAAATTAATTTATTTTTGAGGCAGAGTTTCACTATGTTGTGAAACTACACTATGGTAGAGTGCCGTGGCCTCACAACTCACAGTAACCTTAAACTCTTGGGCTTAAGCCAGCGGTTTACAACCTATGGGTTGCGACCCCTTTGTAACAATGAAAATACACCACAGCATTAGGAAGGTTGAGAACCATTGGCTTAAGCAATTCTCTTGCCTCAGCCTCCCAAGTGGCTGGGAATTCAGGCACCCGCCACAACACCTGGCTATTTTTATTGTTGTTGCAGTTGTCACTGTTATTTAGCTGGCCCAGGCTGGGTTTGAACCCACCAACTTTGATGTATGTGGCTGGTGCCATAACCACTATGCTATGAGTGCCGAGCCAAAATATATTACTTCTTAAACAAGGCAGTAAAAATACAATTTGTACAGGAAAAGACTAATTTGACATCATTAAAACTACTGTTTCCCCGAAAATAAAACCTACCCCCAGAATAAGCCCTAGCAGGATTTCTATGCATTTGTTAAATATAAGCCCTACCCCGATAATAAGACCTATGCAGATAGGCTGCATAGCCATGCCATGCATTTCGGAGCAGAGATGTTAAGACATCCCCTGAAAATAAGCCCTAATGTGTCTTCTTAAGAAAAAATAAATATAAGACAGTGTCTTATTTTCAGGGGAACATGGTAAGAGACTAATAGGCTCTGATTCAAAATTTTAGGATAATTGGGGAAACATTTGAGGAAGTTAAAGAACTTTTTAAAAAATATTTGACATGTTTACCTTTTAGAGATACCTACTGAAATAGCTGCAGATGAAATGACATGATATTTGCTTCAATTAATCCAGGGAGAAGGGTAGAGAGAGTAAAGACGAACCAGTGAATCTACCCTACTACAGAAACTGCTGATGCTAGATGATGGGAACATCAACTGGTTCATTATACTCTTCTCTATTCCTGTATGTTGAAAAATGTCCATAATAAAGTTAAAAAAAAGAACACAATAAAAGAATGAAAACACTAGCCCAAAACTGGGAAAGGTGTGCAACAGAGAGACTAGTATAAAGAACAAAAAACAACTACAAATCAATTAAGGAAGACTAATAACTCAATAGAAAAATAAAATACTTGAAGAGGTACCTAATAAAAGAAAACCTGGATGGCCAGTAAACAGATTAAAAACCTCAACCTGTTTAGTTATCAGGGAAATATAAATTAAAATTACAATGAAACATCACTTGCCATTTACCACATAAGTCCATTTATTGTTAAAGGTTTGACAATAACGCTTGGTTGAGAAAAGAAACCTCAGCTCCAGCCTGCTGGTGGGATATAAATTGGTCCAATTATTCGGGATACAATTTAATTTTGCCTAGCAAATAAATAAAATATGTGTATACCCTATGACTCCAAAAATATCTACCCACAACTCAGATTTGAACTGATTGAGATTAAAGGACAAGAGAACAAGAACAACAAAGAAATGAGAGAAAAAACTCTTGGCTTACAGAGCGGCTTCCATCTTCCTGCACAGAGAAGGGTCAAACATCTAAAGGCTGCTAAACACACCAGAAGCTCTCAGGAAGGGGAGTCATTGCTTAAAAAACACAAAGGTTAAAGACAAGGTTCAGCCGTCTGTCTCTCCTGTTGTGGATACTCAGTAAATAAGAGATAAAAGGCACACAGCCATTACTTCCAGAGTCAAGTCCTCCTCCGACTGCGTCACTGGAAACTGCTCACAAGGCACACAGGCATGTGTCCTCTGCAGCCCGTCTGGAACGGACACCGTGGGCCAGGGCGGATCAAGCGCACTCACCTCTTATGCTTCATAATGAGCCCGATGGAGTAGCAGACATCTCTGTGCTTCTCATCGGAACGCAGCTTCACCTCCACGCCTACCTCCTCCTTTTTGCGCTCTATGTGCTCTAAAGTGTGCTGCACCAGATAGCCCACCGCCCCGTGCTGCCCGGGGTCTAGGGTTTGGATGTGCTGGAGGATGTCAAGCACCTTCAAGACAAGACAGAAAGACTAGGAGATAATATTTTCAGCTAGGCCTTTTCTTTTTCGCAGCTTGGGTTTTAGACCTACCTATAGTAAGCTAACAAAGAGCGGCAGGGAGTGGCTGGTCATTCATTCTCTGAGCAACTCTCCCCAAGTCAGTGCTGTGTCTGCCCAGGGCTGTGTCAGTTCTAACGCTGGCAGCTGGCCAGGACATCCCAGTTCCACCAGTGTGAACGTAAGGAGCTATTTAGGAACGGGTGCACTGGAATGAGCACTGGGTAAGGAGGCAAGGGCCTGCCATTATGGGCATGTCTGGATTAGGTGGACTCTACCAGGGTCTAGCATTCTTCATTAGTGTAGAAATCCCAACTTTTTAATACACAGAGAGGGAACTATTTGAATCTTCGACTCTTGAATTGAAAGGAAAAAAATGGTAAACTGCTTTAGTCAAGACCCAGAAGATGTTTTAACATAAATGCTGGATAAGATGGACAGGTCACAGAGAGGGCACCAAAGGTGGACGATGCTGTATTAGGATGAAGCCACATGTATTAGGCTAACCATGGCCTAACTCATAACGGGATTCAGTATTCCAGTGGGCAGTGGAGAGATCACATCTACACAGAACTCAAACTAGTGGCTGCGGGTAGTACAACTGTCTGATTCCACTGCTATGTTCTACCGCCTCTACAGAAAAATTAAAATCCAAATAAAGTTTTTCAAGACCCCACATATACAACAATTATTTAGCACTCTTTATGTTTATAGCACTTGGCACAGAGTTTCTGACAAGTTTCTCCTCCTAAATCACAGCCTGCTCAATAGGTAAAGCAACCTGGATTCTAGGCCCAGACCTGTCAGACTTTGTTTCTTCACTTATCAGGTAATGACTGATCAGCATCCTACCTATCTCCTGATTTGTTTTGAGCTGGTAAAAGTGTTGGGGAAGCTATAGTATAAGGCAACATAAGACGTTATTTTAAAACTCAGTCTTGCCTTCCACATTGAGAACTGAAAGATCTTAATATTTACTGTACTTATTCCCTGCTGGTCACTATGTCAGGTCCATCATGTTTTGGTCATTAATTTCTTGACCTGCAAATTGGGAGTTAATTTTAAATGGAACAGAAAAAGATCATTAGTCACTGCCAACTTCCAGAAGAGAAATCATGCTTAGTGAAGGTAAATAGGTGGCCTGAGGTCACAGGTTATGGAGACATGGAGTAAGGCTGTCACCCTGGGTCTGACTATGTCTCAACTGCCATCATACCAGGGCAAGAGTAGAAACATTTAAATTCACTACTGGAAGAAGTCTCAAATACATAAAAATGGGCAGAATGTTATAACCCAAGTCCCTTAAGAATCAACTGATAGCTACTCCCTATCCACTTCTCATCTCTGGAGGGCACTTTTAATTTGGGGACACTAGCAACTTTATTCTCCTATCTAAAAGCATCCTACCTAACAAGAATAATTTATTTGCAGAGCCCATCCTTGTGTCTTGACTAGTTCTAATGAGTTGCTTTTCTGACCCTCTGCTGGGTCTTCCCACACAGTTCCCCTCCTTTCCTAGTGCCAGCCACACCTCCTCACCAAAAAGTAAAATGGTCAGAACTCTGGTAGCTTCAGAGCACACAGGCAGTCTAGACAGGGTTCAGGGATAACTAGCCCTCATTCCCTGGACATGTGGCTCAGAGTGAAGGGCAGACACAGGACAGTGTGCTGTTACAGGACTGGCATGTTTCCAAAGGATAGTGCTGATAGCCAGACACTGCTATCCTCAACCAAACGCTCTAGCCAAAGAAAGTCAAGAGCCCACAACTTTTGGGGTGGAGATCTTGCAATGGGGTTTATCACCTGTGATGCACACTCCTGCAGGGGTGGGGAACCTGTGGCCTTCTGGCCATTGAGTGTGGCATTTTGACTGAATCCTTATCTTACAGAACAAATCCTTTTATTACAAGGGGTATAAGCAGAGTAAGATGAAGTTTTTCTTGCCTTTTTTGATGCTTAAAAAAAGAACAACTTTGAAACCAGTAGGCTGCAGGACCCCACCACTGCTTGGGAAACTTCTTCCATAAAGCATCAAAGAGGAAATATTTTAGGTCTTGTGGGCCTCATGGTCTGGGACCCAACTACTCAACTCTGTCACCGGAGCTTGAAAGAAGCTATGGATAGTAAGTGGACAAATAAAACCAATTCCCAAGACTGGCAGCGCTGTCGTCACAGACGTGCTTGTCCACCTCAACTCCAGGTTTCCTCAAGGCTCTCTGAGGCTCTCGGCTCTATTTTCCTGACATCCACTTATCTGCAGGACTGTCTACTTCTGGGACTTTGGGCTCTGGATCCTGATGCTGGGAGCCCTTGCCAAATGGTACAGGACATCTGCACTCGATGGCTCCATCTCAGGACAAGCTGAACATACCCTAAACCAAACACTTTCTTGCAAACAGGCCTACTCTCCAGATAACCACTTTTAGAGTGGGACAAACTATCCCCTTGTTAGAAAATCTAGATAACCTCTTTGAGTCTTCTTCATTCGTATCTAAAAATATTTGGTCATTTCTTAACCAGTCATTAAAATTTTTTTGGAACGTGTACTGTGTGCTGGGAATTGTGTTGAGAGCACGAGGAATGGCTACAATTGGGATCAAAAAGGATGTGGTCTTGTCCTTAAAGAGCATGGTCTACTGGGGAAGGATACTGACCAACAGCTACCACAGACTCAGAGAAGTTCTGTGAAGGGTGCACACAGGCATGACAGAACCGACCTCACTGTGCACAGGGACCAGGAAGGGGCTTCAGAGGTGGTGGAAGCTCAAGTTGGAAACTGATGAGGTGAGAGGCAGAGCTGAGGGAGGGGCACAGGCCTCAGGGTGGAGATGTAGCACATGCAAAGGATTGAAGCAAGACAGCAGGGGACACAGCTCGGACAGCACAGAGTCCCAAGGGGGCAGCCATGAGAGATAGGAATGGTCAGGCAGGGAAGGTCAGACCACTGAGAACTGTGAGCCATACAGAAGGACAAGTCTCATCTTCAAGGTAACCAGGGAGCCAATTAGAGGCATCTAGGCCATAAAGTGGTATGACTGGCCACCTTATATATGTCAGTAATGGGTTCACAGGGTTTCAAGAGTAGATGGAAGGAGACCAAGCAGGGAGCCTGTGCACCACTTAGGCTGGAGAAATGCTGTTTTTAGTGGACCGACTTTCCCTGCCTGGGAGACAGAGTCCCCGGAAGGTGCACAGTTGATGCTTGAACATGTTGGTCTGGAGCCCAGACTCCAGGCAGGAAGCCACTGATTTGGCAGCCAACTGCATACAGGTGGTAACAGAAGCAAGGAGAAGAGATGACCCAGGAGAAGGGTGTGGGGTCAAGAAATCTAGAACTACCTCCAGTGTATAGCCTTGGGAGGAGAGACAGAGGACAAGGAAGTAGCCAGAGAGCACAGAGCGAAGGAACAGAGTGTTCTGAAGTGGGAGGAGCCCGCAGTGATCAAGAAAGACAAGGAAAGAAAAGTATCTACTGGATTTGACAGCAAGGAAAATGGTTTGAGCAAAACGGGTCATTGGCCTCCCTGGCAAGAACAGGGCTTGTGGAGGCATCATGGGAACAGATCCTCCTGTTCTGGGGAGTGGGTGGGAGGTGGGATGGCCATTCAATAGGTAAGAACTTTAGCTGCGCAGAGAGGAGGAGAAGGTGACAGCCCCAGGGAAATGCCTGGAGGGTGGACAAGGAATGTTCTGTTTTTCTTACCAAAGAGGGAAAAGGAGTTTGCCTTAAAGAGGAAGGCCACCTTTCCCACTAAATGCAAAGAGAAAAGGAATAACTACCGACTCAAATGAGAATGCAGGTCTGGCAGCAGGAAGGAGGAGAAAGCGTCTGTGTGCTGGCTTCTTCGGAAACGCTCTTGCTTTAGCCCACTATACCTTGGGGGTGTCGGGGGGGAGAGGGGGCTGCCAAAGTTGAAGCCCAGTAAAAAGTACAGGAATTAGTTACATTGGGATTATCAAAAACAAAAAATTATCAAAAAAATCCTGGACAAGAGAGTAGTGTACCAGGTTGTAACTTAATAAAGTTTACTTTTCCAATAATTTCTCTACCATATTACATGAATGTTCTTTGATTTATTTTTTTAACTAAGTCAAATTAAATTTTTAATTTTTTTTTTTTTTTTTACCATGAGTTACCAAGAAATACATGGATGTTCTATCTGGGCTACAGATGACATCTTTTCTTAAAACCGGAGATTTTCTCATTGATACATCCTTTCTCAGAACTATTTTAGATCTCTGAGGTTATGAATTGAGACAATTTAAATCTAAGCAATGTACAGTCAGTTCTTTTCTCAAGAAAGGTTCTGCCTCTCTCTAATAACATGGGGAGATGAGTTTATGGCGATGGCTCTGGGAGAGCTCAGAATGAAATTCTCTCACCAAACTGTTCTATACAAACAAAAAGGATTATTAACAGATCCCCAAGGAAAAGCAGGGTGTGTTGGGGACGTGCACGTGACTGTATGTGTGGGGATCTTAACACTGTGGCCTTCTCAAAGGGTTTGCTGTTGGCCAAAGAGGGCCATTGTAAAACTGAGAAAATTCAAGTGCAACAGAATCAAAATTCAGTGGTTTTCAAACTCATAACCAGTCCTTACCGAATCCAGTGGTGGACCTGAACACAGCTCAGATCCAATTTTCCTGTGTCACATGGGTATTTATCTATCAATGCTGCTGACAGCACAGCTGGAGGCTGAACAGTCACAGCTTTGCTTCCCTTTGCTGAGTGAGGTGACTTGGGAAATGGTGTTGGGGACCTAGTGGGCCAATGGTGGGAGCAGAGACTTTGTGGTTCTGGGGCTTAAGGCACTGACCACAAAGGGAACAGGCAACTCCTACAGAACCAATTGTACTACTACTACCAAGAACTGTAGAACCATTTTCCTTCGAATAAGATGAGAAAGAAAAAAAATCTAACTGGTGGGTCAAGATTGGGAAGACTTTGAATAAATTTGTGTTTATTCCCCATGTAATACAAGGATAAGCTTGTTACAGCCGCCTTTCAAATCTAGGACTTCTCTCTCTAAAGCAAGTGCAAAGCATCAAAGTAAAATAATTACCTTCTCTGGCCAGATTCCCAGGTGGAAGTAGAGCCTTGCTTGGAGGAGAAGCAGCTGCACCTGGTCTGGGTACATTGCCAGATACAGATCCAGTGAGTCTCTCAGGAGCTGGTACGACTGGTCGATGCCTTCCCTAGCAGAGGAAAAATCATCTTTGTCTCATCCTGTGTGTTTTGCAGCCAAGACCCTCTTTTCTAAGACCTGGATTTTAAAAATAACTGACACAAATCCCAAGCCTTTCCTGATTCTGATATTTCTTCCCTGTTCAGCAAAGGGATCCCACTTATACTGCTCTTTTTTTTTTTTTT